GTGGGAAAAGATACAAAAAATGTTTATGGTTGTACTTTGATTGAGGTAGTGACAAGGTCGAAGCAGTAGGAGGCAGTAGTAGTTCACACGCAGGTGCTACGGCAGTAGTTTGACACAGCTACAGCCGCCCCACTGTGGCACCTGGTGTTCCCAGAGGTCTCCCATCACAGTATTAACCAGGCCCTTCCCTGCTTAGTTTCAGAGGTCTGACAGGATCTTGCTTTCATCTCCAGGCGGCACAGCGACACACTTGTGCTGTTGAATCATATCAAGAAGGTCCTCTGTTCGAGTCCACCTCCAGATCTTTCTGTGTGGAGTTTGCATGTTCTCCCCGTGTCTGCGTTGGTTTCCTCCGAGTGCTCCGGTTTCTCCTTCCACTAAAAACATGTACAATAGGTCTGTCATGCACCTCCTGTATGACGGCCTGCTCCCATCTCTGTGTGGAGTCAGAGACAAACTTCCAAAATTGTGTGGCTCTGGTCTGTGAAGGCGCTATATAAATAAACATTACGTATTCCCCCCAGTTTTATCGATGATATTTCCAGGACCACATTTATGACAGACAAGGACAGACTCTCAGACCAGGAAGTACTTTCATGATCGTTTAATAAAATCAACCACAGACTAGAAAAAGGCATTTTTGAACCGACGCTCGACAAAAGCAGTGGATGAGTTTGATCTTCTCCAAACGACGGGTCTTCGGGTTTAGCGCTATCCACACATGGACTGTACACATCTACAAGAATCATGTGTTTTCTGAAAGTGGAAAAGACTTTATTCTTGGGTTTCATTCAACTGGCCAGTAGGGGGCGAATGAGCAGAGGTGGGACAACTCAGTTTTGCTCCCATTGAAAACCATGTAAAGTCTGTTTTGGAGTCAAAGGCTCTCCTCCTGTGCGGTGTACGGTTGTTGGAACAGTCCTAATCGGGGACACTCAATTCTAAGGGAGAACTAACAAATATTTCTCAAAAGAGTCTTGATTTTGGGCATTTTTGGAAAAGAAAAACAGAAGAAATTGCTGCGTTTCATTGAGGTGGCCTGCAGGGGGCGCTTATCTGGGAAAGCCTTGATCCACCTCGCCCGCCTCATTCCAGTGATTTGTTCAAAGTGTCCTCTTTTATATGAGACCAGTTTTAACATGAACAAACTTGTCTTTCTCTCTATTTGTGCGGTTGCTACAAGCGTACACCGCACAACAAGATGGCATTTTGACAGAGCTTCTTCTTCTACTATGTCTCCGTGTATAAACCCGGCAGACTGCAGCGCCAGGATACGTCACGTCATGTCCCACGCTTGTTATTCGCGCCACTGCCCTGAAGTCATATGAAACCCAAGAATAATACTCAGAAGAGAGAGCGGCATCGGAGGCGACCAACACTTTTGAATGGGAGTAAAAAAATACAACCGGAAATGAAATATTAAACGAAAATTAGCAAATGATATCCACTTGAACATTGACTTTGTTGCTAACCAGAGCTAGACAAAATAGCTACATTTACAGAGATCAACATTTATGGACATTGGTCTTTGCTCCGTTATGGACCAAGGGCTAAAAAATGTGCGTGTTCTTTTATCAATGCATTTCTTGTGTTGGAACTGTTCTGATTCTCTGATCTGTTCGACAACTTTGTAAAGTCCTTTCCGAGACGACTGCTGCTGTGATTGAATTGAGAACGGGAGAAGAGACGACTGAAAAACTTGTGAGTCTTGGGAGATGTCACCAAGTTATGAAGACCCAAAATGTACATAAATGAAGTAATTACGCTTCCAAAAACGACAAGCCGTCAAATTGACTGCTCTCGGTGTTCTCGTGGTAAAGAGCATTCCGACAAAATCATTCCCGATCGGTCATTCCGAGGCTGAAGCGGAGAGAAAAGCGCGAGAGATTGAAAGGCACAGTTTAAACTCAGAAAATAAATTCTCTCAGAAACCCGAGACTGGATATTTCAGATAAGTGCTTGTATTAACCCCATTTTATCTTGGTTTTAGTTTTTTAAAGCTGGGGTACGTAACTTTTTATGGAAATGTGCTGTAAAATCTATGGTAGTAGTAGTGGTAGTAGTAGTAGTAGTAGTAGTAGTAGTAGTAGTAGTAGTAGTAGTAGTAGTAGTAGAAGTAGTAGTAGTAGTAGTAGTAGTAGAAGTAGTAGTAATAGTAGTAGTAGTAGTAATAGTAGTAGTAGTAGTAGTAGTAGTAGTAGTAGTAGTAGTAGAGTAGTAGTAGTAGTAGTAGTAGAAGTAGTAGTAGTAGTAGTAATAGTAGTAGTAGTAGTAGTAGTAATAGTAGTAGTAGTACAGGGGCGATATGGTAGCTGAGTGGTTAGCACTCTCGCCTCTCTGCAAGAAGGTCGGAACAGGCCCTTTCTAAGTGGAGATTGCATGTTCTCCCCGTGTCTGGTTAAGTTTCCTCCGGGTACTCCGGTTTCCCCTACCCCTCAGCAGTAACAGTGGTAGCAGTAGTTTTAGTAGTGATATTAATAATAAAGTTAGGTCCCCAGCTTTAACATCTTTAACATCTTTAACATCAGCAGTTTGTCACAGACGAAAGTCCAGGATCAGTGTAAAAAAACAACAACACATTTTTCAATAAATAAAAATAAACATAAACAAACACAACATGTTTCACCAGAAACGATCAGTGCAAAATAATGTTCATGTTGTAATAAAATCAAGCTTTGGTTAAAACTTCACACTCTGACTCCCAGAGCAGTCGATTTGACTGCTGTTAGTTATCAAAACACATCTTCAAGAGGCTGGTCCTGGACTGGTCCTGGACTGGTCATGGACTGGTCATGGACTGGTCATGGACTGGTCATGGACTGATACTGGATTGGTTTTGGACCGGTCCTAGACTGGTCCTGGACTAGTTCTGAGTCGGGTCACCTCAGATTTCCAGCAGGACGGTGCTAGTTACCATAGCAACACACTGTTTACGAGCAGCAGTTAGCATGTGTGAGCTGTAACTGTTTTTGCTGTTTTTGGTATTTTTGTACAGAATTCCATGGATTTGAATGAATTTCTAGTAACTTCAGATTTCTGGGAGGCCAAGTGTTAAACCTTGGCTTATTTTGGTCAAAAATATCAAAAGGCTTTACCGTCATTTGAACATAGCTCGAGTAAAAGGCTGCTTATGTCGTTTCTACGGGAATGTCTTAGTGTATGATGTAATAGCGTAATACTGTAAAAATAAAAAAAACAGCACCAAAAGCAACAATGTAAAGTACACATCTGTAAACGCATAAGACAGATCGGTTTGAGGTTCCACCAACGGAGGCAAAGCACAAGAACCCAACATGGTACAAACAGGAGTCTCCTCTGGGCGTGTGACGGTCTTCAGGGGTCTCTAATGTTGCTCTGGTTTGGGTCCAACGAAGCCTGTTTGAAATATAAATACTGGATTTGCACCAATCAGGAAGCAGCGTGAGGGAAAGAATCTGCTAATCCTTTTAAATGCTAACAATGGAGCCACGTGTTTGTCCTGTATGTACTGTATATACTGTATGTACTGTATATACTGTATGTACTGTATATACTGTATGTACTGGTCCCTCTCTAGTCCCTCTCTAGTCGCTCTCTGGTCCCTCTCTGGTCCCTCTCAGGTCTCTCTCTGGTCTCTCTCTGGTCGCTCTCTGGTCGCTCTCTGGTCCCTCTCTGGTCTCTCTCTGGTCGCTCTCTGGTCCCTCTCTGGTCGCTCTCTGGTCGCTCTCTGGTCTCTCTCTTGTCTCTCTCTGGTCCCTCTCTAGTCGCTCTCTGGTCCCTCTCTAGTCGCTCTCTGGTCACCTCTCTGGTGTCTCTCTGGTCCCTCTCTAGTCGCTCTCTGGTCTCTCTCTGGTCTCTCTCTGGTCTCTCTCTGGTCTCTCTCTGGTTCCTCTCTGGTCTCTCTCTAGTCGCTCTCTGGTCTCTCTCTGGTCTCTCTCTGGTCTCTCTCTGGTCTCTCTCTGGTCGCTCTCTGGTCTCTCTCTAGTCCCTCTCTGGTCGCTCTCTAGTCGCTCTCTGGTCCCTCTCCAGTCGCTCTCTGGTCCCTCTCTGGTGTCTCTCTGGTCCCTCTCTAGTCGCTCTCTGGTCTCTCTCTGGTCTCTCTCTGGTCTCTCTCTGGTCTCTCTCTGGTCTCTCTCTGGTCTCTCTCTGGTCCCTCTCTAGTCGCTCTCTGGTCCCTCTCTAGTCGCTCTCTGGTCCCTCTCTAGTCGCTCTCTGGTCCCTCTCTGGTGTCTCTCTGGTCCCTCTCTAGTCGCTCTCTAGTCGCTCTCTAGTCGCTCTCTGGTCTCTCTCTGGTCTCTCTCTGGTCTCTCTCTGGTTCCTCTCTGGTCTCTCTCTAGTCTCTCTCTGGTCCCTCTCTGTTCTCTCCCTCTAGTCTCTCTCTAGTCGCTCTCTGGTCCCTCTCTAGTCGCTCTCTGGTCTCTCTCTGGTCTCTCTCTGGTCTCTCTCTGGTTCCTCTCTGGTCTCTCTCTAGTCTCTCTCTTGTCCCTCTCTGTTCTCTCCCTCTAGTCTCTCTCGGGTCTCTCTGGTCTCTCTCTGGTCTCTCTCTGGTCTCTCTCTAGTCTCTCTCTAGTCTCTCTCTGGTCTCTCGGGTCTCTCTCGGGTCTCTCTCGGGTCTCTCTCGGGTCTCTCTCTGGTCTCTCTGGTCTTCCTTCCTGGTCAGATTTGAGTGTGTATCCAAACCCAGTACACATATTCAGCGCTCCTGTTCGCGCAGAGAAAAAACATAGATAGTGTAAAAAAACCGTCGCACACACTTTTAACAGAACTGAGGAAATAGTGGGTGCCTCTCGGTCTCCTCCTGGTCTCCTCCTGGTCTCCTCTGGTCAGTGCATTAGAACATTCAGTCATCCAAAAGCCTCTGTGCTTTGCGTCCTGCTGCCCAGCTCCGGCTCCCGTCCATACAACAGTTTCTTACATTTTACAGGTTAAATTCTCCGCTTTCGTTCACGTCCATTGGAATCGCCGTGGAAACTGTACAAGGCCCCCGAGAGCCCCGCAGGGTGTGGTTCCTGGAGGGGCCCCTAATAAATGACCTCATAGACAGTGGCTTTCTTGTCCCCGGAGCCCGTCACTATGTATTTATCGTCTATGGAGATGTCGCAGCTCAGGACCGACGAGGACTCCTTGGACTGCAGCGAGAAGATAACAATAGAAAAGACTGTTATAGTGATTGGGCAACGGCGAGTTTATCTGTATGGCACAGTTCATAGGCACAGACACTCAGGCACTTAATGAAACAAGATAAAGCATTAAACTAGTTCGTAATTACAGTGCATTAGAAAGAGTGTGCACAGATACAAGACCTGATTTTAACCTGGATTTGTACATTATCAGAGAGAGAGAGACCAGAGAGACCAGAGAGAGAAAGAGAGACAAGAGAGAGAGAGTGACAAAAGAGAGCAGAGAGAGAGAAGGTGACAAGAGAGAGCAGCGAGAGAGACCAGAGAGAGAAACAAGAGAGAACAGAGAGAGACAGAGACCAGAGAGAGCGGAGAGAGAGAGTAACGAGAGAGAGCAGAGAGAGCAGAGAGAGAGAAAGACCAGAGAGAGAGAGTGACAAGAGAGAGCATCGAGAGAGACCAGAGAGAGAGACCAGAGAGAGAGAGAGTGCGAGAGAGACCAGAGATAGAGAAAGAGGAAAGAGAGGGGGAGAGACAAGAGAGAGATCAGAGAGATAGGGACACTAGAGAGAGAGAGAAACACAAGAAAGAGAGAAAGAGGAAAGAGAGAGAGAGAGACAGTGACACCAGAGAGAGAGAGAGAGAGAGAGAGAAAGAGAGACCAGAGAGAGACCAGAGAGAGTAGGACCATACAGTCTGTGAGCGGCCGTAGAGGAGTCCTGATTATTAAATGTCACTACAAACATTTTTCACACCATTCGTTAATGTCATGTCATTGTTTGCTCACTCCAAACTACTACTGTAGCCACAGCTGCCCTGGGGCACACTGACAGAAGCGAGGTGACCAGTCCGTGCCATCGGCCCCTCCCACCACCACCAACCATTCACACACACACCAGACTCATTCTAATGTGGGGGGAGTGTCTTGCCTAAGGACACAGCCACACTTTACAGCCGCAGCTGCCCCCCCTCTGGCAAAACATTGAATTGAAAAAATTTGGGTTTGTGCTGGAGATTAGACAAAAGCTGCTTGTTTTACCACAGTTATTTTTTTGCTGACGGAAAGACTTAGTGTCAGATTGTACCTGGAAGATGCTGGCCCCATACGGCGTTCTCCAGGCGTTGAGTAGATTGTCTTTTCCGGTGCTGACGAACCATTTCCCTGGAGCAGAGAAAGACAGATCACAAACACACCATGAGACACTCGCTCCAGGAGAGATCATTAAGAGACGAGATTTTAGAGACTTCGGAGAGTTTGGAGACTTTGGAGAGTTTGGAGACTTTGGAGACTGAGGCTGTACCAACGTCGGACAAATTGCACCAATTATCAGGTTTTCATGTTTATCTTCAGGAGAATGTTATTTAAAATGTTTACATGTGTTGCCTAACGATCTATGAATACTAGACTGTCTCTGGTCTCTCTCTGATCTCTCTCTGGTCTCTCTCTGGTCTCTCTCTGGTCTCTCTCTGGTCTCTCTCTGGTCTCTCTCTGGTCTCTCTCTGGTCTCTCTCTGGTCTCTCTCTGGTCTCTCTCTGGTCTCTCTCTGGTCTCTGGTCTCTCTCTGGTCTCTCTCTGGTCTCTGGTCTCTCTCTGGTCTCTCTCTGGTCTCTGGTCTCTCTCTGGTTATCCTGTCCCTTAAACATGATCTTAGGAATATTGACTAACATAACAAAGTTTAAACTATTCTAAAGAACAAAGATTAAGGACATTTATGGACATTGGTCACGCTGCTTCCTATGAACCTCCCTTGAATTTAGACAAGAGAGACCAGAGAGAGACTAGAGAGACCAGAGAGACCAAAGAGAGATCAGAGAGAGACCAGAGAGAGACCAGAGAGAGACCAGAGACAGACCAGAGACAGACCAGAGACAGACCAGAGACAGACCAGAGAGAGACCAGAGAGAGACCAGAGAGAGACCAGAGTGAGAGACCAGAGAGAGACCAGAGAGTCATGTTGTCAGTTCTTACCGCAGTGGGCGAACCTCAGCGACAGGACGCAGCTCTCGTGCAGGTGCAGCTGGTATTTGTCTGGTTTGGTCACGTGTAGAACCTCCACATTACTGTTCTCCATCCCCACAGCCAGCCACTCCCCGGTGGGACAGTAGCCCAGAGAGAAGATCTGCCACACATGGTTACACACACATGGTTACACACACATGGTTACACACACATGGTTACACACACATGGTTACACACACATGGTTACACACACATGGTTACACACACATGGTTACACACTCTGGTTACTAAATCCTTACAGGCAGACTTCAGTTGTGTAAATGATGAGACGTTATTCTGCCCACGGCAAGACACAAAGAAGTTCCGTTAAGATCGCAAAGAGAGACCAGAGACAGAGACACAAGAGAGAGAGAGACCCAAAAGAGAAAGAGAGAGAGAGACCAGAGTGTACAGAGAGAGAGAAGACAGAGAGCAAAACCAGAGAGAGAGCAGATAGTGACAAGAGAGAGCCGAAAGAGAGAGAGGGAGAGACCAGAGAGAAAGACCACAGAGGTACTGATCACCAGAGAGAGAGAGAGACCAGAGAGAGTACAGAGATAGAGAGACCAGAGAGAGTAGAGAGAGTGAGAGAGAGAGAGAAGACAGAGCAGAAAGAGAGACCAGAGAGGGACCAGAGAGAGACCAGCGTGAGAGACAAGAAAGAGAGAGACCAGAGAGAGACCAGAGAGAGACCAGAAAGAGAGAGACCAGAGAGAGACCAGAGAGAGAGAGAGAGAGACCTCTGTTATCTGCCTCGGCCTGTTCTGCCCTGTGTGCAGAGGAGTCCTTGGCACTAACTACATAAAAACGACCATCTTCAAAACGACAAGAACCAAAGTCTTAAAAAAACCACTTTCTTTGAACGGGACGTCAGCGCTGAAGACGCAGACACGCCGTAAACACCGACATTACATATTTACGGCGTATATTTATCCGTGCGTGTGCTTAGATAAAGTACACGCTGGCCTCCTCCTGCGCTCCCCAAATGGGCTTTTCAGGAAAATTGCTGTAATAGTCTATTATTGCCACTGCTCTCCTTATCGAGGGGGAAAAGAAAAGAAAATCCACTGTTATTATGGTATGTGAGTTGAAGCACGAAAGCAGAGTGGGGGAGAGAGAGCGAGAGAGCGAGAGAGAAGCTCCATGACGGCAATAAATCACCAAAGTGTGTGACTGGTCTCGCGATGCGCCATTTACCCCAATCTGGGCCACTTTGCTTTCCATCACAAATGTGGAGAGAAGAGCGGACTTGTAAATGTGGCCGCGGTGAAAGAGGTAACAGAGGCGGTGGAATGATCTCCGACCACGACACGGACACTTCAAGACACACGCAGCCATTACAGCCTGAGACAAAGAGCTTATGGACAGGTGTAGAGAGAGAGAGAGAGAAAGAGAGAGAGAGATGGGGATAAGAAGAGAATAGATATAGGGCAGACAAAGAGACAAGAGAGAGACCAGAGAGAGACCAGAGAGAAACCAGAGAGAGACCAAAGAGAGACCAGAGAGAGCCCAGAGAGAGACCAAAGAGAGACCGGAGAGAGACCAAAGAGAGACCAAAGAGAGACCAGAGAGAGACCAAAGAGAGACCGGAGAGAGACCAAAGAGAGACCGGAGAGAGACCAGAGAGAGACCAGAGAGAAACCAGCGGGAAATAGAAGATAGACTAGATAGAGAGCAAAACAACACAAGAGAGAGACCAGAGAGAGGCCAGACAGAAAGAGACCAAAAAGGGACCAGCGAGAGTGAGAGAGACCAGAGAGAGAACAGAAAAAGACAATAGAGACTTAAGAAACCAGAGAGGAACAAGAGAAATCAGAAAGAGAGTTCATCTGTGTTCTCTCTGTGCTCTCTCTCTCTATGTTCTCTCTCTCTGTGTGCTCTCTCTCTGTGCTCTCTCTCTCTATGCTCTCTCTCTCTGCTCTCTCGCTGTGTGTGCTCTCTCTCTTTCTGTTCTCTCTCTGTGCTCTCTCTCTCTCCCTATGCTCTCTCTGCTCTCTCGCTGTGTGTGCTCTCTCTCTTTGCTCTCTCTCTCTCTGTGTGCTCTCTCTCTCTCTCTCTCTCTCTGTGTGCTCTCTCTCTGTGCTCTCTCTCTCTCTGTGCTCTCTCTCTGTGCTCTCTCTCTCTCTGTGCTCTCTGTCTGTGTGCTCTCTCTCTCTCTCTCTGTGTGTGCTCTCTCTCTGTGCTCTCTCTCTCTCTCTCTGTGTGTGCTCTCTCTCTCTCTGTGCTCTCTCTCTCTCTCTGTGTGTGCTCTCTCTCTCTCTGTGCTCTCTGTCTGTGTGTGCTCTCTCTCTCTGTGCTCTCTGTCTGTGTGCTCTCTCTCTCTCTGACCTGGGATGTGAAGTCGTGCTGCTGCAGCTGGCGTCCCTCCCTGAGGTCCCAGGACCTCACGGTGTTGTCCAGACCTCCTGTCCACAGTTTGGTGCCGTCGTTGGAGATGTCGATGCAGCTCGCTCCGTCTGTGTGGCCCTGGAACTGCCTGAGGAGAAAACACACAACACACAATCAAACACACAATGCAACACAATCAAACACACAATACAACACACAATTAAGATTAAGACTAGTGTGGAAATGTCAGTGATACATTACCAGTTACAGAACAGAGAGACTCAAGAGAAGGACCAGAGAGAGACCAGAGAGAGACCAGAAATAGACCAGAGGGAGACCATAGAGACCAGAGAGAGAGAGAGACACCAGAGAGAGTCCAGTGAGAGACCAGAAAAAGACTCAAGAGTGACAAGAAAGAGAGAGAGAGCAGAGAGTCCAGTGAGAGACCAGAGACATGGACCAGAGTGAGACCAGAGAGAGACCCGAGAGAGAGACCAGAGAGAGACCAATGAGAGACCAGAGAGAGACCAGAGAGAGACCAGAGAGAGACCAGAGAGAGACCATTGAGAGACCAGAGAGAGACCCAAGAGCGACCAGAGTGAGACCCAAGAGAGACCAGAGAAAGTCCAGTGAGAGGAACCAGAGAGAGAATTGAGTGAGACCGGAGACAGACCTGAGAGAGGCCTTTATTCATCCCTCAGTGGGGAAATGTTAATGTCAAAGTTCTGTACGTTTCAGCAGAAAAGCATCAAAAATAAGGACACTCAGATGATATAGATAAAGGCACACATTATATACAGGTAGATAAAGATAAAGAGAAAGACATACATTAATATAAAAGAGAATCAAATAATAATTCAAAGATAATAATAACAAACTATGAAGCTGTGTTGCATTCCCGCCCAGGAGCAGACAGACTCTTGGGGGCGTGGCCTCGTACCTGACCAGCGTCTGGTTGTGCAGGTCCCACACGGCGATGTTCCCGTCGGAGCAGCAGGAGAAGCAGACTTTGGAGTCCGGGCTGATGGCCAGAGCGTAGCAGGCCGGCGCCGACGAGGTCAGCTCGGCCTTGATGCGCGGAGTCGGAGCCGCCAGGTCCCAGATGGACAGAGTACTGGCCTCTCCCCCAACGATGAGGGTCCGGCCGTCAGGGAGCAGGCGGCACGAGCGGATGTAGTTGTCTCTGTTCTGAAGAGAAGCAGACGAACAGGACTTACAGCTGAGACTGAGTTTGGGAAATCCACCTGTTGTTATTATTCTATTATTATTCATGCTTGTGCGGAGCTATACTTTCAATTTGTCTCAGAGAAGAATGGCCAGTTTTTCCAGGTTACAGCGCCAAGCTAACGCCGCAGAAGAAACACCCATATAAGGAAATGACCTCAAGCTGGCTTATGTAAAACTCTGTATCATTATTATGTTCAGGATAGAGATTTTATACTTGTTCTTTGATGCTAGAGTTAGAGTTTATGTTTTTATCTTAATTAGTATAACAATTGTTCATTTATTTTCCGGCCCCTGCGGCCATTTTGAAACTGCCCATTGACGGCAAAAGTGGTGGCTCATTAGTTTCAACGCCTGAGATCGGCGTGACTACGTCCGTTAATATTTACAGTCTATGATCAGGACTAACAACGGGGACACAAGTGCTACTAACACGATCACTGATTCTGTAATCCAACATCTCTGGAGGGTCTCAGACACAGAGACGCTGTGGAGCTGCACTAGTGAAGGACAACTTTATACGAAAGGCTACTAGCTTAAACTCGTTAGCATCAAAGCTCCACCCACCACTTCCGTACTGCATTTTAATGGCATCACAGCAGATTTACCAAACCCATGCATCTGCGGTGGGAATGCCCCTTAACACTGTGGTGATGTCACACTCTGTCAGTTCCCACCGACTCACCAGACAGTCCAGCTGCGACACCGGGGTCTTGTTCCCCGGATGGCTGATGTCCCACACCTTGACGCAGCCCTTGCCGCCCGTGTAGACGTGGCGTGTGGGGTTACTGATGGTGACGGCGCAGACCACCTCGCCGTGGCTCAGCGTGTTGATCTGACGGGCGTGACGCGGGATGCCAGGGCCAATCAGGGCGTCCGGAGGGAAGGGCACTGGCTGCATCTGTCCGTCAGCGCTCACGTGGAAGGAGTACGCCCTACATCACACATAAATAAGAAATAATAAATATCAAGGCATTTAGAAAGTTTGCATTAGTAATATAGTAGTTGCTAACAAGTGCATTAGCATTAGCATTAACTACTGTTTATTTACTGAATCAAAGCTGGCAATTGAAATCGGTCAGCCAAGAATACACACACAATAAGACACGCACACACACACACACACACACTCACGCGCACACACACACACTTACACACGTACATGCACACTTAGACACACACACTCACTCACAATCATGCGCACACAAGCACACACACACGCTCAGATGCACACTTAGACATGCACACACGCACACACACACTTACATCCACACAGGTACACACACACGCATGCATACACACTTACACATGCACGCACACACACACTCACTCACATGCACACTTAGACACACACACACACACACACACACTCACAGGCAAAACACTCTCTGACCCTACACCTCTCTCTCATTACACACTACACACTTTCTCCATTGTTTCCATTAAATGAGTTCGAGGACTTCTGGCGTCAAACTTACGGTTTTCCTCCCGGGATTCCTGAAATGTTTGGAGGGAGACCTGGGACTCGTATGTGGTGATGAGGATCGAATCCCACCTGCAGCACAAGAGGACGTTTACAGAGAGGCCTGAGGGTCCAACTAGTTATAGATACTTTATTCTGGAGAGAAGGGTGGGGGGGAGGGAGGGGGTCAAGGACCGAGAGGAGGTTATGGGGGTTCTTGTGAGAGACCAGAGAGACCAGAGAGAGATTAAAAAGAAAGACAAGAGAGAGACCAGAGAAAGATAAACTAGAGAGAAAGACCAGAGAGAGGGACGAGGAACAGAGACCAGAGAGAGACCGAAGAGAGAGACCTGAGAGAGAGAGAGACTAGAGAGAGTCCAGAGAGAGACTAGAGAAAGATAGACCAGAAAGAGAGAGACCAGGGACAGAGACCAGGGACAGAGACCAGGGACAGAGACCAGGGACAGAGACCAGGGACAGAGACCAGGGACAGAGACCAGGGACAGAGACCAGGGACAGAGACCAGGGACAGAGACCAGGGACAGAGACCGGAGAGAGAGACCTGAGAGAGAGAGACTAGAGAGTTCAGAGAGAGACTAGAGAAAGATAGACCAGAGAGAGAGACCAGAGAGACTCCAGAGAGAGACTAGAGAGAGAGACAAGAGAAAGATAGACCAGAGAGAGAGAGACCAGGGACAGAGACCGGAGAGAGTCCAGAGAGAGAGAGACCAGAGAGAGACCAGAGAGAGTCCAGAGAGAGAGAGAGACCAGAGAGAGTCCAGAGAGAGAGACCAGAGAGGGTTCAGAGAGAGAGACCAGAGAGAGACCAGAGAGAGTCCAGAGAGAGAGAGACCAGAGAGAGTCCAGAGAGAGAGACCAGAGAGGGTTCAGAGAGAGAGAGAACAAAAAAATGCAGTCTTTTAAGTTTCTAAAAGCTTTTTAAATCTCAGTAAAGAAATACAGAGAGATACTTTAATAATTCCCCGTTGGAGAAATTCTAGAAAAGCTCAAAAAACCAGTCCATTTCTGTAGAATAGAGAATATGGCGTTCCCAGACTCACCACCTGAGTGCGCCCGTATGCAGCCACAGCCGCCGCAGCCACCGCGCTCATCTGTGGAGACATGTTGTGGAGACCGGGGTACGCTGCGGCGCCGCTCAGCTCGCCGTTCATACCGGGATGAGGGACCATCCCGAACGGACCCGGGTAGGAACAGGGGACCGCCAGAGGGGTCCGCAGGCCGGGGGCTGGACAGGAGAGAGAGAGAGGGGAGAGAGATGTTAGAGACTGTTCCAGCAGGTGAAAGGGAAACCAGTGAAGAGAGAGAGAGAGAGAGCAGAGAGAGAGTAAAGAGAGAGCAAAAAGAGAGCTCTGTGTGTGAGAGTCTCTCCATTTTAATGCCGTATTTGAATGTTTCTATCCAAATAAACTTGCCGTGCCTAGTTTTTTGAAAAGCCAGATTTATTTTAGCACCGCACAAATAGAGTTTCTTCCCTTCTTGAGCAAATTCTTTCAAATGTACAGCCAATAAATGAATTAAGATGATGATTAAAGTTTATCTTATCTTTACAAAACATATTGAACATTGCAACAACTTTTGGGAAATGTTCCAAAATAGAGAAATCTTTTATGATCCAACCGTCGCTTGTTAGACGTTTTGGGAAAGCTTCGAGTCCCCACTTTCAGAATGCAGCCCTGTGCTTGTCCTTGAACCCGTACCTAGGGCCTCGATGCCTGCTGGTTTAACGGAGGAGGTCCTGAGGCCGGGGGTGGAGGTGCTGCTGGGGGTGGGAGCGTCCGTGCGGGAGATGGGACTACTGGACTTTGACACCGGCGTCGTGGACTTCTCATTCTGGAAGAAAAAGAACCACAATTATACCACGAATCTAGGTTTAAAAACTGGGGGAAGGTTTGTAGAGAAAACATGATTCTGGTCCATGATTTTAGAGCAGATATGAGAGAATGGAGAGAGAAGAGAGAGAGCAGAGAGAAAGAACAGAGAGAGAGAACAGGGAGAGAGCAGAGAGAAAGAACAGAGAGAGAGAACAGGGAGAGAGTAGAGAGAGAGAGGACAGAGAGAGAACAGAGAGAAAGCAGAGAGAGAGAAGAGAGAGAGCAGAGAGAGAGCAGAGAGAAAGCAGAGAAGGAGAAGAGAGAGAGCAGAGAGCAGAGAGAGAGCAGAGAGAAAGAACAGAGAGAGAGAACCGGGAGAGAGCAGAGAGAGAGAGGACAGAGAGAGCAGAGAGAGAACAGAGAGAGAGAGCAGAGGGAGAACAGAGAGAGAGCAGAGAGAGAGCAGAGAGAGAGAAGAGAGAGATAAGAGAGAAAAGAGAGAGCAAAGAAATAGAGAGACCAGAGAGAGTCCAGGGAGGGATCAGAGAGATACCAGAGAAATATACTAAAGAGAGAGACCAAAGAGAGACCAGAGGGAGATCAGAGTGAGTATAGAAAGAGAGACCAAAGAAAGACTAGAGAGAGTCCAGGGAGAGACCAGAGACCAGAGAGAGACCAGAGATAGACCAGAGAGAGACCAGAGAGAGAGACCAGAGAGAGAGACCAGAAAGAGAGACCAGAGAGAGAGACCAGAGAGAGACCAGAGAGAGAGACCAGAGAGAGGGACCAGAAAGAGAGACCAGAGAGAGAGACCAGAGAGAGACCAGAGATAGAGACCAGTGAGAGAGACCAGTGAGAGACCAGAGAGAGAGACCAGAGAGAGGGACCAGAAAGAGAGACCAGAGAGAGAGAGACCAGAGATAGAGACCAGTGAGAGAGACCAGTGAGAGACCAGAAAGAGAGACCAGAGAGAGACCAGAGATAGACCAGAGAGAGGGACCAGTGAGAGAGACCAGTGAGAGACCAGAGAGAGAGACCAGAGAGAGGGACCAGTGAGAGAGACCAGTGAGAGACCAGAGAGAGAGACCAGAGAGAGGGACCAGAGATAGACCAGAGAGAGACCAGAGAGAGACCAGAGAGAGAGACCAGAAAGAGAGACCAGAGAGAGACCAGAGTGCATTTTGGGTTCATTCAGGACCACGACACCACTCACCAAATTGAGTTCTTTGGACTTGGAGGAGGGAGTGCTGCTCGAGGAGGCGATGGACGAAGGGCTGAGGGGAGCGTCCTTTTTCAAGAGACGGCTTTTGTCGATGCCGTTTTCCCGCGGAGAGTGGGCGGGACTTCCTCTCGGGGAGCCGGGTTCCTGTCAGACAGAGGAGGGGGGTCTGAGTTGTGTGTTTTAAAACTCCGGGGTCCAGGGTCTTTATGGTCAGTGTCACATTCACCTCATTTGAGACGTCCACCACCAGGTTCTCGTCGCTCTTCTCACCGTCACTTTCCTAAAAACAGAAAAAACACAGTCTATTTTTAGTTCAATGTGTGTGTGGCTTTAAAGGCTGAGACTGTAGATCCAAGACTGAGGCTGTAGAGGCTGTAGACCCAGGACTGAGGCTGTAGACCCAGGACTGAGGCTGTAGACCCAGGACTGAGGCTGTAGACCCAGGACTGAGGCTGTAGACCCAGGACTGAGGCTGTAGACCCAGGACTGAGGCTGTAGACCCCGGACTGAGGCTGTAGACCCAGGACTGAGGCTGTAGAGGCTGTAGACCCAGGACTGAGGCTGTAGAGGCTGTAGACCCAGGACTGAGGCTGTAGAGGCTGTAGACCCAGGACTGAGGCTGCTGTAGACCCAGGACTGAGGCTGTAGACCCAGGACTGAGGCTGCTGTAGACCCAGGACTGAGGCTGCTGTAGACCCAGGACTGAGGCTGTAGATAAATGTGTTATTCTCACATATCTTGTGGACTCTTTATCCTCTGTCTTCTGCTTTTTGGAGTCCGAGCTGAAGTCTCCAGAACTCCTGTGTTTCTCTCCGCTCCGGAAACTGGCGGACGGCGACACGGACGAGCTCTGCACAGAAACAGAAGAAAAGACAATGGTACTTTTTCCAGATTTTTCCAGATTTTAACTTAACTGTACATTTTAACATCAGTCTGGAGCTAGCGTCCTTCTCTTTGGGGTCTTTGTCGGGCCAGAAGTCTGACCTCAAGAGACAGTAAACCGGCTCAGAATCAGAATTGTTCTCATTGCCGTTGTCAGATTAGGATTAAGATTAGAGTAAAAGTGGGGAAATGTCAGTGTTGCATCGCAGGTTACAGAGCAGTAGGAATGAGGAGCACACAGCACAAGATACATGAAAAAAATACTATACTGAAAACAAATAAAATAGACTAAAATCTCTAGCTTTAGCATAATGAAGAAGCAAGAATAAGCCTCCCTCACATCCATCATATTTGTGTGTGTGTGTGTGTGTGTGTGTGTGTGTGTGTGTGTTTGCATGCACATGTGTGCGTATGTATGTATGTGTGTGTCTGTGTCGATTCGCCGACAAGAGATCAGAGAATCAAATCCATCCATCCAAATTCTAGTTATAACTCACACTGGCTTCACTATGGTGTGTGTCTGTGTGTGTTAGCATGTACATGAGTGTGTGTGTGTGTGTGTGTGTTAGCATGTACACGTGTTGCGTATGTATGTAAATGTATGTGTGTGTCTGTGTTGATTCGCCAACAACAGATCAGAGAATCAAATCTATCCCTCCCAATCCAACAGTTATAACTCACATTGGATCCACTATTGTGTGTGTGTGTGCGTTTATGTATGTGTGTGTGTGCGTCTGTATGTGTGTCTATGAATGTGTGTGTGTCCTTTCATCCATCCATCCAATTCAATGCATTCTTGTATAGCCTTAAATCAAAACAGCAGCTCTCTCGGCGGACTTAACAAAGTTGTCCATTCTCCGTCACAGATCAGAGAATCAAATCCATCCGTCCATTATCAACAGTCGTCGCTCACAATGTCCCCTCCATAGAAACTGAATGGAATGATCCAATTTAAATTGTGCCAATTAAAAGCTTATTAAACGAGTGGTGTCTTCACTGCTGTTCATTATCCCGTCATGACTTTGATGAGAATTACTTTGAGGGCGGTGGAGATTAGCGCTGAAGGAAGGCAGTAATCAAACATGTCCTCTTTTAAATACCATTAGAGACGGATTCATCAGCACAATAAGGTCATCAGAACGCAGCAGGATACAGCAGGATACAGCAGGATACAGCAGAACGCAGCAGGATACAGCAGGATACAGCAGAACGCAGCAGGATACAGCAGGATACAGCAGAACGCAGCAGGATACAGCAGGATACAGCAGAACGCAGCAGGATACAGCAGAACGCAGCAGGATACAGCAGAACGCAGCAGGATACAGCAGAACGCAGCAGGATACAGCAGAACGCAGCAGGATACAGCAGGATACAGCAGAACGCAGCAGGATACAGCAGAACGCAGCAGGATACAGCAGAACGCAGCAGGATACAGCAGGATACAGCAGAACGCAGCAGGATACAGCAGAACGCAGCAGGATACAGCAGAACGCAGCAGGATACAGCAGAACGCAGCAGGATACAGCAGAACGCAGCAGGATACAGCAGAACGCAGCAGGATACAGCAGGATACAGCAGAACGCAGCAGGATACAGCAGAACGCAGCAGGATACAGCAGAACGCAGCAGGATACAGCAGAACGCAGCAGGATACAGCAGAACGCAGCAGGATACAGCAGAACGCAGCAGGATACAGCAGGATACAGCAGAACGCAGCAGGATACAGCAGAACGCAGCAGGATACAGCAGAACGCAGCAGGATACAGCAGAACGCAGCAGGATACAGCAGAACGCAGCAGGATACAGCAGAACGCAGCAGGATACAGCAGAACGCAGCAGGATACAGCAGGATACAGCAGAACGCAGCAGGATACAGCAGAACGCAGCAGGATACAGCAGAACGCAGCAGGATACAGCAGAACGCAGCAGGATACAGCAGAACGCAGCAGGATACAGCAGAACGCAGCAGGATACAGCAGGATACAGCAGAACGCAGCAGGATACAGCAGGACCTTTACCTCGACCTTTCTCCAAACTCACACTGCAGACCTTTACTGGCCTTTGGCGAGCGTTGATGACTGAGATACTGTGTGTGTGTGTGTGTGTGTGTGTCAGTATAGGTGTTTGTATGTGTGTGTCTACCAAATGTGTGTATGTGTATTAGTATGTATTTGTGCTTGTGTGTGTGTATGAGGGAGGGTGTGTCTCTGTATGTGTGTACCTGTGTGTTTCTGTCTGTGTGTTTGTGTGTATGTCAGTGAAGCTGTTTATGTATGTGTGAGCGTGTGTTTGTATGTGTGTGTCTACCAAATGTGTGTACTTTTATAAGTATGTGTGTGTGCGTGTTTGTATGTCAGTGTAGGTGTTTGTGTATGTGTGAGTGTGTGTCTGTCTACCAAATGTGTGTATGTGTATGTATTTGTGTGTGTGTGTGTGTGTGTGTGTGTGTATGAGTGTGGGTGTGTTTGCATGTGTGTGTCTACCAAATGTGTGTATGTGTATAAGTATGTATTTGTGTGTGTGTGTGTATGAGTGCGGGTGTGTACCTCTGTGTTTCTGTCTACGTGTGTGTGTGTGTGTGTATGAGTGCGGGTGTGTCTCTGTTTATGTGTGTACCTGTGTTTTTCTGTCTGTGTGTGTGTGTGTGTGTGTGTGTGTCAATCAAATCAACAATTATTGAAGCTTGAAAACTAATTTCTGAAGCCCGAGTCATAGCAGCCGCACATACGTATAATTTATCTTAGAAATGTTTTGTGTTTTGTGTCTCGATTCAATTGAAATAGCCTCATTACACTGTCAGATAACTTTAAATGTAGTTTCACTTCCTGGAACAAAAATAAAAATATGCTCTATTTTTGTCTTTTAAACCTGAAGCTGACAATATTTGCTTTTGAATTTAATATTTCAGAATGTCAAATAATCTCCCTCTCAATATGATCTAAAGTGGCAGGTAAGAGGTGTGAACATAGCACGTAGCACGTAGCATGTAGCACGTAGCATGTAGCATGTAGCACATAGCATGTAGCACGTAGCATGTAGCACGTAGCATGTAGCACGTAGCATGTAGCACGTAGCACATAGCATGTAGCACGTAGCATGTAGCACGTAGCACAACACGAGGCTGGAAAGAACCTTATTTCACCAGAGAGAGACATATTACTCATTATGTTTAACCTCTGAAACTGACAATGAGACTATGTTCTTTGTCATTTCATAAAAAATTTATGAAGTAGCTTTTTTTGTTTTTGCTTCTTATTTTTCTTCTATTAAGCGTCTTTGAGTGTCCCAAAAAGCACTATATAAGTATGATGTATTATTGTGTAAAGGCTAATGCTAATTTGCAATGCTAATGCTAACTGATAGCAAGTTAACAGTATGTTGCTATGGTTACGGCACTTGCTCTTCTCGGCTGCTTGACTCCATTTCAAAATCAAAAGATAATTTCATTAAAAAAAAAATAATGTCATCTGATGACAACTAAATAAACTATATAAAGAAACAGAAAAAGTGTCAAAGTCATGAATACCAAGAAGATAAGATAAACTTTGTTGTTGTTGAGAATTGTACACGTCACATTTAGCATGGATAGAATGTTTTTTTTTTTTTTATTATTATTTTCCGAGCTACACAACACACAACACAGGCATAAAAGCCAGAAAAAATTAAATAAAAATAATTAACATTCTAGCTCGAAAAGGAGTGGGAAGAAGACAAGCTTATTGACTCCCACCCCTGTTCGTAAACTTAAATAATAATCACTCAAATCAAATCAAATAAATCACTCAGGTTGTGCAAAAAGACAGAAAGTGTGCAAACATGTTAAGAAATATAGTCTTTTGTGCAAGCTACATTATGTACTATTCAAAAATGAAAAGTGACAGCAGCAGTGCGAGTTGAAGGTAAATCGACTGCTGTGGGAATTCTAATGTTAAAAACCTGAATTTTCCCCACTGTGGGACCAACAAAGGCACTCATTCTTTCAGTCAAACCACCAGAAAGAGGCGTTTTATGGCGGGGCAGCGGCCACAGAGAGGCGCAGGTCACAGCCTCCTCTATTCCCACATTAGATTAGATTCATTAGCCGCTGGAAATTAGCTTCTCAAAAAACATCAAATTGAAATGATGTGGCCGCAGAGAGAGAGAGAGAGAGAGAGCGAGAGAGCGAGAGAGCGAGAGAGCGAGAGAGAGAGGGAGAGAGAGAGGGAGAGACAGAGAGAGAGAGAGAGAGGATAGAGAGGGAGAGACAGAGAGAGACAGAGAGAGAGAGCGAGAGAGAGAGGGAGAGAGAGAGAGAGAGACAGAGAGAGACAGAGAGAGAGAGCGAGAGAGAGAGGGAGAGAGAGAGACAGAGAGAGAGAGAGAGGGAGAGAGAGAGAGAGAGACAGAGAGAGAGAGCGAGAGAGAGAGGGAGAGAGAGGGAGAGACAGAGAGAGAGAGAGGGATAGAGAGAGAGAGAGGGAGAGACAGAGAGAGAGAGAGAGAGACAGAGAGAGAGAGAGAGGGAGAGAGAGAGCGTAACCATTCATTCATCACATATAATTATATTTGCTCCTTATTCAATTGATTCCACGAGTCCCGATAATGACATCTCTGTCCCGCTTCGTGGCGCTCGGCCCGAGAGGACGCGACCACGCTTCAAAATAGCGCCGTATTCTTGAGAATGTCTAAAGCGTTGTTAATAAAGGGAAGCGCAATTAGCTGTTCTTCTGCACAGTGTGTGAATGTGCTACGCAAAAAAACTCACCGTGTCTTGTCTCAGCCTCAGTCCTGGATCTACAGTCTCGGTCCTGGATCTACAGTCTCGGTCCTGGATCTACAGCCTCAGTCCTGGATCTACAGTCTCGGTCCTGGATCTACAGTCTCGGTCCTGGATCTACAGCCTCAGTCCTGGATCTACAGTCTCAGTCCTGGATCTACAGTCTCGGTCCTGGGTCTACAGTCTCGGTCCTGGATCTACAGTCTCGGTCCTTGGTCTACAGCCTCAGTCCTGGATCTACAGTCTCGGTCCTGGGTCTACAGCAGCCTCAGTCCTGGGTCTACAGCCTCAGTCCTGGGTCTATAACCTCGGTCCTGGATCTACAGCCTCAGTCCTGGATCTACAGCCTCAGTCCTGGATCTACAGCCTCAGTCCTGGGTCTACAGCCTCAGTCCTGGATCTACAGCCTCAGTCCTGGATCTACAGCCTCAGTCCTGGGTCTACAGCCTCAGTCCTGGGTCTACAGCCTCAGTCCTGGGTCTACAGCCTCAGTCCTGGGTCTACAGCCTCAGTCCTGGGTCTACAGCCTCAGTCCTGGGTCTACAGCCTCAGTCCTGGATCTACAGCCTCAGTCCTGGATCTACAGCCTCAGTCCTGGGTCTACAGCCTCAGTCCTGGGTCTACAGCCTCAATCCTGGGTCTACAGCCTCAATCCTGGGTCTACAGCCTCAGTCCTGGGTCTACAGCCTCAGTCCTGGATCTACAGCCTCAGTCCTGGATCTACAGCCTCAGTCCTGGGTCTACAGCCAGTTTGTCCACAGTAGCGGATCCCTCTCTTATTATGAGCCTCCCTGAAGTTTCTCACTTGCTTCCCACTATTGTCTCCTCCTACACCTCCTACACCTCCAGTAGCTCTTGCACCTCCTTCACTTCCTGCACCACCTTCACCTCCTGCACCTCCAGCCCCCATAGAGCAACACAAGGACGAGAGGCGCAGATGTTCAGGCTACACACACACACATAGACTCATCCACACACAGAGAGACACACACAGATATTCAAACACACGCACACACACACACACTCATATAAACAGACACACACACACACACATACAGTGGACTGTTGCCGGGGCGACTGTGGACCGCTGATGAGATCTTATTGGTGTCATGAAGTGACTGTTGGCCGCGGTGTCAGAGAGCAGAGTGTGTGTATGTTCATCTGTGTGTGTGTGTGTGTTCCTCTGTGTGTGTGTGTTCCTCTGTGTGTGTGTGTTCATCTGTGTGTGTGTGTGTTCCTCTGTGTGTGTGTGGCCGTCAGCATGAGCACTAATGAAGGCCATTTATCATCCGTCCGTCTTCACCTCTGCGTCCTGACCCCTCACTAACGACGTATCAGCACCGACACAGGCCTGAAGATCACCGTGTCTTTAATATAATCATTAAAAATCATAATCATAATAATAATAATAATAATATTAATATTAATAATAATAATAATAATAATACATTACGGTTAAAATAGTAGATTAATTAATTTATGTTTACTATGGATGATGTGCTTTCTGCTACTGGACACTGGAATTTCTATCATTGTGTCTATCTCTATCTATCTCTCTATCTCTTTGGCTCTTCTCTCTCTCTCTATCTCTCTCTCTCTTTCTCTCTATCTCTCTCTCTATGGCTCTTCTCTCTCTCTTTCTCTCTATCTCTCGCTCTATCTCTCTCTATCTCTCTCTCTATGGCTCTTCTCTCTCTCTTTCTCTCTATCTCTCTTCTTCTCTCTTCTCTGTCTTTCTCTCTCTCTACCTCTCTAGCTCCCTTCTCTCTCTCTCTCTCTTTCTCTCTCTCTCTCTCTCTCTCTCTCTACCTCTCTCTATTTCTCTCTATCTCAAAAAGTGACTCACAGGGATCGTTCTTAGAAGTGTACAACAGACACCATGTTTTCTAACAACATGAATAGAGTACGTAAAAAGTCTGATTGTTGAAATTCTGGCCAAACCTGCAGGTGAAAGCCAGATCCTGACACACCTCTAAAGCTAAGCAGGGCACGGCCTGGTTAGTGCTGTGATGGGAGACCACAGGCTGTGGCTGTAAACTTCCCAACTGTCCTTAGGCAAGACTCTTCCCCCACATTAGAATGAGTCTGGTGTGTGAAGGGTTGGTGGTGGTGGGAGGGGCCGATGGCACGGACTGGTTGCCTCGCTTCTGTCAGTGTGCCCCAGGGCAGCTGTGGCTACAATAGTAGTTTATCACCACAGTGTTTGGAGAGAATGATTCATGTGAAGTGTCTCTGAGCGTCTGAAAAAAGCGCTGTATAAAACCATTAGTATTATTATTATTATTATTGTACACATACACTTTCCTTGCTTTAAAAACCTATCAAT